GTTTATAAAGGGAGAACGAATGTGGTTGTGGCCAGGGCAGGAAGTGTAGGAATGACCCAAGAAGTTGTAAACTGCACTTACCCTACTGTTGTTCTAAATTTCGGCGCGACTCAAGACAGCGCCGGTATAATAATTATTTTTTACTGCTATGAGGTCTAGCATATTAGATTTGCCTGACCTCATAAACAAAAGTCCTTTTACACTGTACAAATCGCGGATATAATAATTATTTTGTTATTTTTATGAGATCTAGCATATTAGGTTTGCCTGACCTCATCAACACAAAAGTCTTTCTTGAAAGAAATATTTTTCTACAAGATATTTCTTTCAAGAAAGACTTTTTGGAATATGCAAATTTGGAATATGAAATAGGCAAAGGTTTATTGAGCAAAGGCTTATTGATGACTACTTTTCCATGACAAATCAATGGCAAAGCACTGCTCAGCAATGCGAATGTAACAGAACTGGCCGAATACACAATCCACTGGCAGAACGGAGCAGTTTTTATCTTCAGCAACAATTCGTTTGAAAAAGCGAAGACTTGAAGGGTAATTAACAATCAAGTGCGAGAACTGCGGAGTAATTCTGCTTACAAAATCATCAGAAAGCTGTTCAAACATGTTTTCTACCCGGAACATTTTAACTACTACAAATGCCTCCTTCGACTTATCATAAAGAAAGAATGATATTCGAGCAAAATGAAACACATTATTCTGAAAGAGCGCTACATAGGACTTATCAGTTTTGCTCTGTCGCAACCAACTCCGCGAAGCGTAAGTGCTACCGTGGTACTCGTGTCGCTGATAAATAGTTTTGTTTTGCAGTCCTGCTTCAACACCGCTTTCATTTCCGCCCACATTTAACAGTCGGCCACCGTTTCGAAGTGTAAAATATTTACTTGAATACTGCAGGTCACAAACACCCAAATGCTCGAGGAATGCCCGCAACTGTGCAGACCACTGTGGTGCAGCAATATTCCGTTGCAGCAGTTCATGAAGCAGGACAAATCTGAAAAATGTTTGCTTCATAAGGCTGGCGCTATTGCGACAAAAGCATGCTGAGACAATGAAAAGTTCAGAACGGTTAATCATGAATCTAGAGATTGAGGTAAAAAGGAGACCTTTTAAGATACAGGCCGACAACACCACTGCTGCACTGTTGACGAACTTTCAGTTTTCTGTTGAACTCGAAGTGGAAGGCCGTGAAATCAACAGGCGTGCCATACTCAGTAATTCTCTTGGACAGTGAACAAGCAGCGCCTGGAAAGTGCAGCATTAGATTATCCGTAATTATTTTTCCTGTGCTGAACACGCTGTAAGTAAATTGGTTTGGAAAGGTTCATTTTGAAAGCACACGTGCAACTTCAACGTCGTCCGTGTAAATCCCATGAACGCGGTCCAGCTGTCTCCAAGAAATGTGAAAAGTTCCATTAGCTTTGCGAGATCTTTGCCATGCAAAGGTACGTCGTAAACATGCCACATGCAGCAAACGAAAACTGTTAGAAATGCTGCTGCCGCTGCGTCCGCAAAATGTGACGTTGCAAG